TCTTAATCTTCGAATATTTGTTTAAGAACCCTCTCTCATTGTCTACTTTATAAGCAGGAATTCAAAAATAAAATTCACGTTTATTAAGTAACTCCAAAATAAATTATGCGTGAAACGCGGAAAACCTAAAAAACGAGTTTTTTAAGGTAAACATGAATGTTTATTTCAAAAGGAGGATTCGCTCTCATTTTATTTGTAGAATTCTCGAAGTACGAGTATTTTAACTGAAATTATTCCATAGAAATCGACATGGCCTTATTTCAAGATAATAGCAGTAAATTTTCATAAAATAAACAAATAAAAAGTATATTTACGTTTATCGCATATCACTGCCAAATGATATTAATGTTAGATATGTAGTACAATATCTGAAAACAAACTTAAAAGGCGGAGCGTCAACATTACATCATTATCATAATTACGTAACCTCCCATCATGTTTTCGGATTTGTATATTTCCAAGCTAATTTTCTTGCGCAAGACATGGAGCGTGTTGTGGTTAAAAACATTCTATAATGAGAATGCATATACTTCCGCAAATATAGATATTTCAGTGATTATGACATAAATAGTATTATTTACATAACTGTATATGTAATTAATAATAAATAGTATTATTTAAATAAATGTATATGTAATTATTTAAGTATAAATAGTAATATTTAGTAATAAATAGTATTACTTAAATAAATAATATTATATAATAAATAGTATATTTAAATAAATAATATTATATAATAAATTATTATTTAATAACTGTATATGTAATTATTTACGTATATTCATTGGGGTATATATAACACTGCATCAAATAATACCTCCATTGATAGCATCGCAAAACAAGTAATTAATTAATTGCCGATTCTCCAACAATTTATTAATTCCAAATTATTTATTGATTGGTTAAATTGAAATTTTCAATTTTTTTTTTTTTTTTTTTTTTTTTTTTAAATAGCGGAATAACGGACTATTGCATGCTTGGCGCTCGTTAGCAACTTCAACAAAAAAAGGAAAAAAAACCTTCCCTACCCTGAACAGAATTAATTAAAAAAAGGGTTTAAAAATACGCTTTACGTTTTTATTTAGTTCTCCTCATTTAGTTATCAGCCATTGATTTAAATGAATTATATTTATTTAGAATGCTTAAAAAATGTAATAAATGAATAATTATATTTCATGAAGATCAATTGTTTTATTGCTAATGAGTAGATATGAGCAGAAAGTAAAAATAAAAATAAAATAACTAACTGAAAAAAACCGCTTTCAGTTGGTGTGATCAGTGATAATCTCTTGTGTAAAAAGGGGTCGTGTGCGTCACAGTGATGTTTTAAACTTTCTCCTCTCTGTCACACATAATTGTTGATCACGAGTATACACTGAAAATTTGCAGGTGGTAAATTTAAAAAAAAAAAAAAAAAAAAAAAAAAAAAAAAAGTTGGCTAATTTTGCTGAAAATTAATACTGTATTTTGTCAAATTTCTATTGCAAGGCATCCTAAATTTCTCACTTGAAACATATAAGAAAAATCTTCGATAGCATAATAGCAAGATAAAGTACCTATTTAAAGATATGACGCAAATAACTAAATTAAGTTCACACTGCATCTGAAATTCAGAAAACACAAATAAAAAGAAATACCTTAATAAAATTATTGAAAGTTAATTATTTAAATGGTGTTAGCCTGCTAGGCATTCTAACGAACCCAATAATTAACATAGTGATTAAAAAATATTCCTTTCAGTTAGGTATTCAGAACTCAAAAAAATGTATGGTATTGTGGTTAGTATGCTACTTCGGAGACTGACACAAGTTTTCGATTCAAATTCGATTAATGTCCACCCGTGGCCATGCGATAAAGTCGCTGAACACTGGTAATTCGGTCGGAGGTTCGAATCTGCGAACGGACAGGCTGCATGGACATTTTCATGGTTTTCCCCATTAGTAACGTGTATACGAGCCAATTACCCTTTGGAAGTCTTCCACAAAGGCATCCCTCTCTTTAGGCAGATAGCCCTCGAGTGCTTTGCCGTAATCAAATAAACCAAACCAAATTCGATGAAAAGCATATACTGTTATGTGATCGTCAACTAACAGGTAGCTGGGCTGGGAAGATACCAGAGCCTTATATCATTCTTTGACTGGAATGCTTTCAATAAAACTGGTATGATGTTAGCCATTGTCATCACTAGGGCCTGAAATGTCTTGACCCAATTGTTGATTTTTAATCTTTCACCGCAGTTCTTAAGGGCGTGTTAACGGAAAAAAAGGAGCAATAATAAACGGGGATGTGAAGGCAGCTGCTGTCCGACGCAGTAAAATTATACTAATTTCTTTCCGCAGCTTGCCACACGATTAAAAAAAAAAAAAAAAAAAGTTTTAAGATTAATTCAGTTGAGCAGCATGCTGGTTTATGAGTGTAAGCAATTGTGCAGGATATTTGATAAATAATTTTTATCTGGGTGATAGACATTGTATCCTTAATATCAAAATTGATTTCTAAGATTAATAAGGGTTTGTAAACAAATTTAAAAACAAATAAAATTTTGAGTAAAAAGGCTGCTTGAAAATAAATCAAATAAAGAATTAGTATGAGTAATTCTTGTGCATGCAATGAACTGGGAGCATGGATAGCAGTATTTCTGTCTATTGTTTCTTTCTTTTTTGGTTTCATGTGGCTTTCCATTTTTTTTTTTTCCCCCTAAGCAAGACAGCAATACCAATATTTATTAGCATATATAAGTCTTCTATTAACAACCTGTCGGTATGAAAAAATTCCTAGAAATATACTCTTACATACATTTCTGACACACTTAAAATTTTACTTCCAAGGAATCTTGTAATTTTTCAGAAAAAAATGAGACTCCCGCAGAAACTGATAAGTGAGGTAGGCGAAATTAATAACATCTGTTATATGAACAGTAGTTCAAAAGCTAAATTAACTTGAATCAGTTTTTGACGATGTTCTGGAATTAAATGCAAAAGCTTTAACGCAGTAAGCAAACTGTTGCAGATCAGAAACAGGAGCTTTTCTTAAGATATTAAAAGTTAATTCTATTTCAAAGGAAAAACAGTCTACTTTGATAATTTAAAGTTTAAAGCTAAGTGATCTGCTGCTAAACCCAGAAATTTTCACAGATATATATATATATATATAAATAGCGGCATCTTAACACTTACATGTAGCGGAGCTAGTAATAAAAAAGTTTCGAAAAAAAAAATAAAACTGAAACATTCCTCTTGATCACATAGCTCGAAATGTAGCATAAGAAGAAACAGTATTTGAAAAATTCTATCTTCTGCATTACCTACATATGCAGGCCGCTTCGAAGTCTCAAAATATAATGAAAACTAGAACGCTAATATTGATATGACATATAAGTATACAATTTCGTGGCATTTTTTTAGGGCAAGGGGGCAGGGAATAATCATTTAAATAGCCTCGTTAATTGGCAATTCTAAAATCTTTACCGTTTCCTGAAGATAGAATGTTTAATCACCTTTTACAATGCATTGCATAGGAAAAAATGAGAGATTAAAAAATAATTTAAGTGTAATTTTTAATAACTTATGTCTTTATTTTATTTTTAATCTTAATTTAAGTTCAGCAGTGCATTGATTGTAAATGTAAAAAATGGGGTATTTAAATATTATGTTTTTTGATAATTTATTTTAATACATACGAATTGTAAATTAATTTTTCATAATGTCATTAATTTACTCCGACGTGAAGGCGATGTGCACTGAAAAAATAAAAACATAATGGTGAAGATATTAATATTCATATTATACATAACGCATATGGTAAAGGAATCTTAAATTTAATCTCTAAATTCTGTGAATATTTATCACCATCACCATTACAATAATGCAATTGTCTGAAAACTTGATTTGATTGTAAAGAATATAAAGACGAATTTCTACCTCAATAATTAACAGTTCAAGCCAAAATATTTAAATCACAAAAATATAATAGCCACCTAGAATTAGAAAATGTATTGCGTAGTTTTCCTTTTATTTTAAAATGCTTGCCGTACTACATGCAAACGAGTATTTATGCTTCCTTTAAAACTTTTACAGCGCATCTAACTCAGATATTTAAAAACCAAGAAACGCAGTTCATAATAATTTAAAACTTTTATTTGCCCTCTTTCAAACTCCTTTGCATCTCAAATTGATATATTCTTTAATTTGCATTACGTTACGCTAGCATGTATTTATCTTCTACGGGATTTGTAATGTGTCGAAAACGCTAGAAAAATAAGTTTTAAATTAAAAATAGATTATTTTCTGTATACTGTCGTTCTGCAAAGATGAAAGGCATTTAATTTAATATATTCGAATATATTCATTCTATACATAAGGGGCAAAATACGTTGCATAATACTAAAGAATTACAAGACATCTTTATCAATTACAAAAGCATACGATTGTATTTTTATATAGTTATTAAGTTTATAAGTTTTGTACGTTTAACAAAAAACAGATAGTACTAAATTTAATATAGCAAAAAACTGTGTTGTTAAAAATTACTTAACAGTTTTTCTGGGGGATGAATGGATATACAGTAATATATAATACTGCATTGTCTTTATTTTTGTGAAATAAATATATTACCACATGCTCATTTACTTTCACCTGTTTTCAGTACAGGTTTGATTAATCATTCTTAACAAAGTGCACTTTCTAAATTTTCCTATTTATCCGCGATTTTCAGCACTACTTAACCGGAAATGCGCTTTATCGAGGCTCAGTCACTGGACGGGTTATCCTCGGCACGCAAGCTTTTAAGCAAGAAAATTATCGCAGAATACTTTTGTTCAAAATAATAAACACTTCATCAGTTCATATACTTGTTTCGCTTTAGATAGTAAAACAAAATAAAAATAAAAAAGTGATGTTTCATAATTTGATAAAGGGTTAAATTTCTTATCTAACTGAAGATCAAAAGTGCTTTACGCGTCACAAAATTATTAAGAAGTTTATATTGAAGAAATAAAATACCTGATGTCACATCTTTGATGCCAGGAAATAAAATTTCAGCTGTAGCTTTAGATATGAGTTCATCCATAACAAATGGCAGAGTCGATGGAACTTTCCGAGTTTAATGCGATTAGCTTATCTATCATTTCCTTTTATCGGTTTTCCAAAGGATCTACTATCTCGTACTTAATAAACCAAGGTACGATTCAATATTTGTCTCAGATCTTCGAAACCTCTGATAACCGTTCGGTATCCTTCTATTCAAATTACCCGAAGGAAAAAGTACGAAATTTCTTCCGGCACATAGATCCTTGAATGCACTACATTTTCGTTCAAGGAGTTACAAAAGTTGGCCTAAGAATATTTGGGAGGGAAGAGAGTAAACTTCAATTTAAGAAAAAAATCTAAAGAAATCTTTTCCTTGTTATGTACTATATACTGAATAGACTTCGAATTTTCATCTCAATATTTATAGCCTCACTTGCAATTTTTTGCTCAAAGTTGCTTCCATGGTTTATTTACGCAAACAGACAGAACAAGTAATTTACTTATCTTCTATAAATAACTATTTCGATTGTTATCACTAGTGCATATGATTAATCTAAAAGGTTAGAAAGATTGCTAAAGAACCATTGTTTGATTTCCAGTTAGACTGGTAATTCAGTGGCAGAGCTGCTTATGGATTTAGCCTTGACTTCGCCTTCTCAGAAAGTGTGAATCATTCGTGACAAAGGTAAACATTCGTCATAGTATTATATATCCCACATTTGTTATTGATGTTTCTGACATAATTCCAGGATGACATAATTTCAATGTTAACGCAATTTTATTTGTGTGTCTGTTTACTTTGCAGGTATAACTTATGTTTATTTTTAGGAATGAATGTAATATTTCCTCAGAGCTCTAAAACTGGTAATTGCGCAGATTTGTAAAACGAAAGCCAGGGACATAATCAATTTAAAATATGCAGGAGGGGTCTGTTTTAGCTCCTGTGCTTGCAACATTTTAAAGCGTTACATATCCACATAGATTTCAAGTTTCTTTCATTTAATATTTAATTCACAATCTTCGGAGACAAGTTCTGAGAGACTCATGGTATCGTAGTGCGGGTCCTGGTACTTTTATTGTTTTCGAGAGTGACAGGAAGGACAAAAGGGCTCTTACTCAGTTATCTTCAGGATATTTAAGAACCCTGATACACTCTCGCGGTACTAAAACATCTTCACATTGCGCCAAATGTAAAAACCATGAAGCTATTGCACGAGATCTACTTAGTGGTGTTGATGAAGAGATCTGATTTCGTGTTGGAGGTTATGAAGGTGGAAAAAACTCATGGATTTGATCTGATTCAGATGAAAGGGATTATTAAGAAGGAGAAGAAGACAACATTTTCCTAAGAATACTTCCACAGTTCCAGAGAAAACTGAATGACCGCGAAAATCAATGCGGATTAGTGCATCGAGCGGCAAAGAACATCTGTGGAGAGGCCCAATATGATCACAATTTCTCGAAAAAGGGGTCGGAGGAACATAGTATTTTTTCCAACGTGGAATAAATATGGGAAGAAGAGGATGAAAGATTACCAGGAAATACAACATGAGTGGAAGTATGATGCATTTGAAAATAATAGCAACTAGAGTACGCATTTTTGCATAAGTCTCAGACTAAGAATTCATTTGAATTTTTTAATTTATCTTTCTTTTATTTAAATGCTTAAAATGGAGGAGATTTAAATTTGCAGCCTAATATATGCAAATTGTTAAATTCAAGCTTTAATAAAAAGGTCATTAAATACATTCTAAGGTCTTCTTTCACAGAGTGAGAGAAAATTCGCTTAAAATCTAATCAGGGTTAAATATTTTTAACTTAGATTTACACAGATAGTGACTTATAGCTTAATGTATACATGCAAAGTTTTATTGAAAATTATAATCCAGGAAATTGTGATTAATTTCCATATAATATTTCTTCACCGCGTCCAGTGCAGGCAAATAAGAGAACGTATTAAGTGAAAGATCGATAGTTTCATAATGTAGATGATAATTTTATTTTCTTCGTAATTTGTAGAAATATATAAGAGTATTATATTTAAATTTCTCAAAAAAAATTGAAATTCGTTTTCTTAAACATAACACATTTTAAATTAGTGCTTAAAATATTAGCCAAAATTTCTCTTCATATATTATATAAGTTTCGCAATTTTGTATGCGTATGATTAAGCAAATATTTCTTTACATAAGTTAACAAGATACTTGTGATTTCAATGAGGAATAGTGAAACCTCTATACTTGTGTTTTTATTAAAGACAAATTTAAATAAAATGCAATCTTATGTTCTAATGAACAAGGTACACAAATACGTAAAATACGTTCTTGAACAAATATTACTATACGTTTTTTATTTCGATCTTTTTCTAATTTTGAAGAAAAAATTCTAATACATTTGAGGAAACTACATTAAATATTAAAACTATACATCAATACGTATTTTATGCGAAGAAAGTTTTTTAAAGATACATTTTTTTTAAATTTTAGTTTTTTTCCTGCCTTGTTGAGTTTATTTGGTGTTACATATTTTTTCTAAACCTAACAAAGGTAGTTTAACAGTCATTTCATTTCTTAAACAAGTTTCCAACGCAATATCCAGCACAATGGCCATTAATATAAAGAGAAAGAAGTAGAGATGCATGTCTGTATATTGCTTTAAGAAAGGCATTATTTTTTCTAATAAGACAGTTAAAATAATAATCGTTTGAAAAATTTTCTTTAAGTTCTGTTGTCACTTTTTTCAGTTCCAAGTTGTTGCGGAGATTCGTCCGCAGAAAGATTCGTCTTATTTTATTCTCCGTTTTCTTTTAATTTTCGCTCAGTGGCTTCATTCGCAAACGCGTTTACACTAAAAACATTAAGAGGATTCTCATTAGTGTCTGGAACAGGTGTCTTATATTTTTCAAATTAGTTTCAAAAGAAGTAATCCTTTTTCTTTGTAAACATTTAAACCCGTATTGAAAAGGATTCTTGCTCTGAATTCTTCCATTTGTTGTATATTCGGGTATAGCCAATTTCATCACTTGAATTATTCTCATGTTTGAGCCCATTAAGGACATTATCGCGAGAATCCTGCAATATATTTGAAAATACGTGAGTGATGTTTTCTTGCATTGTTACTGTATCGCTTCCAAGAAAGTCAGTTGCACTATTAGTTATAAAATGACTAGTGTCAGAGAAGTTCGTTTTAAAATGTTCTCTTCATAGGTCGGACTTTTACACTGCTAAGGAGAACTACTGACCGGGAACAAACCCTTGCAGTATGATGTCCGCCCTACAGAGGACATAACGGCATTTATTGAGTCTCCCCCCCCCCAAAAAAAAAAAAAAAAGATTACAGAGTCACATCTAGATAGGAGATACACTCATGTCCATAAATTAAGGATAATGCAAAATCAGGCAAAGGAAGAGTTAGAAGCAAAACAAATTTGACTTATGTGTAAAGCTTATTTATTAAACAAAAGGTAAAGAGCAAAAAAAGATGCCATATGTTTGATATTATTAAAAAAAATTAGCGATTTTTTCTCCGTGGAGCAAATTACAAAAAAAAAAAAAAAAAAAAAAAAAAAAAAAAAAAAACCTATTTACAAAAAACCAATATTACATGGTTGGTATGATTGTTAATACATTGTATGTCTCCCAGACGATGCAATACAGTCCGTACAACGCCTAGGCATGCTGAGTATCAAATTATCAATCTGATCTTGGGGAATATTACACCACTCAAAAAGCAATGCTTTCCGAAGTTCCGGTAGACATGGAGGAGGAGGTTGACGGGCTGAAACTCGTCCGCCAAGCATGTCTCACACGTGCTCTACTGGATTCAAGTCCGGTGAGAAGGCTGGCCAGTCCATACGGGTGATATCCTCCGATTGAAGGCATTCGCTTACGATGTTTTCACGGTGAGGACGGGCGTTGTCATCCTTAAACACAAATTGTGCGCCTATAGCGCCCCGAAACAAACGTATATGTTGTTCCAGAATGACGTACCGATAGATTTGGCTTGTCATGGTTCCAATTTGAACATGCAGGTCAGTTCTGGAACCCAAAATAATTCCACCCCAAATGAGCACTCTTGCACCAACGTAACGGTGTCGTTCAATGATGTTTTCTTGGTGGTAACGGGTACCTGGAGCTCTCCAAATGAAAGTCCGGCGAGAATCAGACTCCAAGTTAAACCTGGACTCGTCGGAAAATATCACACAAGCCACTGTTGCGGTGTTCACAATACTCCAGGCTAACCGCAGGCGACAGTGAGTTGCAGTAAGTGGAACGCATCTGACAGGTCTACGAGCATATAGACTAATCTGTCCTAAGCGTCTGTACACGGTCTGCCTTGAAATTGTCGTACCAGTGGCTGAAGAGAGCTGACGAGACAGATGAGGTTGTGCTCCGCCTGTTTCTTTTGGCAGTAACTGCCAAATACCGGTCCTCATTCAGCGTTGTAACTCTGGGGCGATCTGTGCTGTAACGTCTACTCACATTACCATCATCTTGGAATCGTTGTCAAAGCCTGGAGATGACAAGATTTCGAAAATACGGAAATATTGTATTTAAACAACGTTCTGGTTGATGTTCGTGGTTCTGCTGTGTAACTATCGTTTCGATATTGGTTCAATATTTTGCTCTTTGCTGTGCAAACATGGTCTTTCACTATGCGGGAAATTTGAGATAGAATGTTTCCTAAAAACATTGCATTAATTTCCAAATCAAAAATGACATACCTTAAGTATTTGACGAGTAGTCAGAAAAAAAAATATGGAACTTTGTTTCAAAATAACAGATTGGACACATTGAAAATGAAATTCTATCAGTTTCATTTGACACTCTTTATTTTTATGGAATTCATCTGTATTTCCTAAGGCATAATTATAATATGGACTTACAATAGAAGAAAAAATATCGGTCAAACTCTCTTTTCAATTTCAGTGCACAGTTACAGCAAATGTGTTCTTATTGTCGTATTGCACTCAATGAATAGCATTCTTAAAGCCTTGGAGAAATTTCTGCAGTAATTATGCCTGTAGGAATTCGATAACATAGTTCAGTACATTCTTCTTAGATTCTTCCTTACATTCTTGAACTACACTTCCAGTTGGGTACGCCCACATTCCAGACGGCCGATAATTCTACCATGTAAAAAATCATCCAAATACTTCCTTTGTGTCATAACTATTCGGTTATTGCACTGAAATGCTTATAAAGCGCCTGCGAACAATTTTACTTCTTTGCCTGTATTCCTTATATATCACTCGTCATTGTGACGTACCATCGGTGTCATCTGGTTACTTCCTGAAATTTGCATATGATTCTTGAAGATGTGTGTAGTGATTTTACAGGTGATATATTTATTTTAGAGTTCGATTTCCGCGTGACTCCGAATTATCCTTAATTTATGGACATGAGTGTACAAAGGACTATCTTGGATACATATAACATTCTTGATTGAATAGATTAAAAAACATTTTTTTAGACATACAGAGCTGCATTGATAACAAAACTGGTTAAGGTAAAACAAAAACAGTAAAATTCAAGACTAACAATGGAATTTAAGCCTGAAGTTATACATCACACTGACTTACTATTATTCCACACATTACAAAATACATATTATGCAATATATTACTAGAATACTGAACAACACACTGACATAGTAAAGCTGATACTACAAATAAAACGCACCATA